TCAGTTGCTAAAATGATCCTCATATTATTGCCTCAGAAAATTTTACCTTAGTAGACACTTTCGGGTAAGTTCGAGAAACATTCTTCTGTGTTTCGGTTTTATTCACGAACATAGAGTTAACTGATGCTACTCGTTCTAGAGACTGTTCACGAAATACTGGTGACAATTCATCAGATAAAGCTCTTCTTGGGGATACTGTAACATGTTCATCATTGGACGCATCTCGTAATTGTTGAGATTGGACATATTCCAGGGCATCTGCTAATCTGGAGTGACACCTACGAGATCTGTAGTTGTCTTGGGAAGGTTGTTGGTTTGATTTCAACTCTAGCTGTTGATTCAAATCCATGATCGTGGTAGATACTGGAATAGAGATGTGATACGGCGATACAAACATTTTTCTGTTCATGAAATTAATCGGATGTTACTTTCTTTCTTCTAAAACATGATATCATGAGAAACCTTAATTTTAAAGATGATGGCCTGACATTCTTGGTATAATATAGGCCTAAATCTCAGATGAAATTATTTTGAGTATCAAATGTCAATATTCATTAGAACGTCGTGTGTAGGATATTCTTGGGCCAGCTTGTTATCTTTTTGTCTACGATAGTCAATGATCAGTGTCAATGAGAACTGTCATATGGAAACGAAGTATGGTGAAATCAGACTGGCGTAGTAAATTTGAAAAACAAATCAAGCACGTTATGAACTATGATTTTTTCTAGTTAAAGATTCTGTTTTTAAAGATGATTATGTGGGTGGTACTTTAAGAATTTTCTAAGTAAAGGTTTAAGGTTTGGATCGTTTGAAATGAAATTAATCATAAACTTGCGGGAACTTCGTTTTGACAATAGCACAAGTTCATACTGTTAAAATGAACTGTAAGTTTCAACCATGTTAAGTTATGATATTTTTCATTCAATTTTCACTTTAAAACGTTAAATTCATTTCCAAATTTTGAAATGAGAATGAAAACGATTAAAGCTCACCTGTATGACAAGAATTTCTTGATGTTTAAGATTAAAATCGGTAAAAATTCGTTTAAAAACTACTCGTGACTTTAATTCTGCAGCATCGTGGAATACAGGGTATACTGTGACATCATAATCAAAAAACATCACAAGCGTTCGCTTGGTTTTTTATGTGCTCCCGTTTTAAGCCTAATTTAAATTAAAATGTGCTGTTAAAAATTGAATTTCGAAGTTAATGGGTCAATAGTGGCCTGGAATAATAAAACGGATTCCTTTCGGCAAATCTTTTTCTTTGTCTTAATATTTTGTGTGATCACATTTCAAGTCAGTTGACAAACCAAATCCATGTTCAAAAAATATGGAAAGGCTGATGGAAACGAACCTTCTTTGTGAACAAAATATAAAGTGCTAAGTCAATCATTTGACATGTCTTAGAAGCTACGGTTGGAAATTGTCTGATTGATTTAAAAAAGAATCCAGTGATTAATCTTAAAGTTTGAAACTGTCGGTTATTGTGACAGATGTGTCAATTCTGTCGCTTATCTTGTTTTCAAACCGTCTTATTTCAAATACCCAGTAATCAATGTTTTACTCTCGTCCCTGGGTAATATGTCTCAAAGGCTTCACAGTTCTTAACATGTTGTAAAAGTCTAGACGTAAAATCGAACATATTAAGATTTTCTTGGGGTTTATTACGGCAATACTTTAAATACTATATAAATGACATGGAGTTTTCAAAACATTATCTCATGGAATCGCGAGAAAGTTTCATTAGCAACCCACAAAAAGATAAAAATAATTTTTTAATGTCAATATACTTTGATATTCCAGGTAGGGCAAGAATTATTGCGGAACTAATATGGCGTGCTGAAGCAGAGCCTTTTGGAATTTTCAAGATTTGTTTCTTTCCATGCCGTCATGTTACTTCTGTACTTACTTCTGTATTTACCTCTATGATATGTATAACGATTCATTCAAATTCCATTAGCAACTTTGTTGAAAATCTATAAATTCATTTAATTTCCATCGGACTGTTCTTTGTTAATTTAATAATAGACAGCAATTTCAGGTCAAATCGGAGGAAAACCAAACCAGGCAAACCAATATTTTACTGTATTAGAGGATTTTGGATTCAAATTGAAAGGTATATATTCTGATAATAGTTATTTATCTCCAATTAAGGAATCAAAGTAAATAGTTTCAATAGATGTAGGTCAGTGTCTAGAATAATTGTTATCATTAACTAATATTTCTCTTGATGCGTCCTCATTACTAGATTTAACTACTATAAGTGAAATGAAATGAAATGAATGGAGTTTTACGTCCTACTTTTCTGCACCATACTATAAGTGAAGGGGATTCGTCAACTATAATATGTACCAGTAGATACTGCTTGACGAAATCATTGTTATTTGAATCTTAGTTTTAAATCTACAATGTATCATAATGCGAGCAAATCTTAACAAAGAAAAAACTGGACAGACACTGGTAAAAACTATTTTAATGGCAACTATATTTCAATGATCTTTATCCACTTGCCTTCACATTTACAAGAATACGCAAAATCTTTTAGAGGCCAGTTGCCTCTTTTTCTGAATTCACCAATATATCTATTTTAATTTTGTAAATATTTATATTGTCACCAATCCAGTTCGTCCACACCTCCTCCACAACTGCTTGGTAGGCTGTATTTTGATGAGATCTCGGATGAGATTGATTCTCGCGATATTCCGATGAACGTTTCTTTTTATTTACCCCCAATACGTCTAAATGAACTTGTTTTAAAGCTGCTGTAAATTTTTCTGTGGATGTATAACCTTTCGGATGGATTTTGTGAAGCTCACGATAGTGGTGAACGTCTCTGACTATTGTCCCGTAAATTATTATCTCATTGTATTGTTAATATGTCTAGAACCGGACTTCCCGACGACACACACACACTCGTCACCCATTGTCTATGCCTTTAGATTTGAATTATCTGCTTACAACGACCATTGTCCAGTATGTAGTGCTGTCCAGTCTGGCTGTAAGTAGGACTGGTCATCAACTATTGTTCGATAATAGAGTTGATAATTCACTTAGTGTCCATGAAGTTATTCAATCATATCGTCTTTATCAATAGAAGCTAGAGTGACCTCCATTAAACACGTTTTATACAGACGTGGTTAACACAATTAGCATATATAACTAAATTATTAATCCAATCTGTCCACGTCCATAATACAATAATTTGTTACACAATACATTGGACACACTGATAGTGTTTTTGGTTTGTTATAATCATTTATATGTAGATTGATTTGGTTATTAATATTTGAGAAAAACAATAAATCACACGTGATGTGATGACCTAATTAATAAACTATATATTATTTACTAGTCTCATGAGTGTTACTCTTCAAAATTATGCTTCCGTTGACTGACCTTGTTCACTTTTCCTTTAACATAGGAATATCATATCACTTGTCCAGATCACTTATACCAATGACAGTTATCTTAAAGGTAATGACAGAACGTCCTTATAAGATAAGATCTTGTGGATATAATATATGCATGTATCTGTGATGTTCATTTGTATCAGAGGCTGTTTTATGAGTAGAATTTACGTGTTTTCGGGACTTATGGTGCATGTTTATTAATCGAAGACGTATAACAGTCACTGCCATAGTAGCAACCTAGTACGATTGGGGAGTATTATGATTAACTTGAATGATAAATTACAACATCTACAATGGTTTTGGAGTGTCGAGGGTTTAAATGATTACTCTGGGTATGTGAGGACTAGAAAAGATTGGGAACCAAGATAGAAATTCCTCCCGATGTATCTTCAGTGCCGGGTATCTCCTTTCACCGAGTTATTGAAATATAAAAGCCTAGTTCTAAATTAGGAGTGGTTCATTGATTTCACTAAACAGTTTATCCTAAATACTGATGACGATGCATGACTTTTTCAACAAGTAGATCTTTAGCTGTAACAAAGTTGGTCTACGGATACAGTACTGTTGTGAACAAAAAGACTTTCTTCAAAATAAATTCTATTGACAATAAATAAAGGCTATAAGATTGTTCAAGATAAATTCTAGAAATCGAATCTTATTATTAGTTTGTGTTGGCATTGTAATGAACTTGTGTCAATTTCTAAAGAGTTAAAACAAACGGCGTGTCTAGACTCTATTTATTCTTTATTATTATTATTAATTTAATTTCACTAGTACAATACTGTTATACTAATAGAATAAAACATATTGATATTATTATGTTTAATCAAATACTTTTTCTATGAACTGAAATGACTGCTTAAAAACTTTCAAGAAGTATTGTATACGACAAAGAGTTATATGTTAGAATGCAATTGTTGAGTTCTATCTACAGTTTCCTTTCTATTCCAATTTCTACCATCTGTACCAATAGTTTAAATGAAGGGCTTTCTTTGTGCCTACGTGTATTAATATGCTTCGTTGTTGAGATTCCAGTACATAACAAGATCGTGGCTGATCTACTTACGAAGGCTAGAGGAAGTATGTAGCTAGTGCTCGCTCACCGCTAATTTTGCCCAATCTTAAACTCGAAATTCTGTAACACATTTTATACATTTTTACTGCTTTACCGTACTTAATTCACTTTGAATGTTAGGAATATTTCACTTCCTATATCCGACTCAATACAAGGAAGTAAATGTTGAAATTTAAGAGAAGTTTTCTTTCCTCAAATCATGTTTGTGTAAGATTATGGTTTACCAGATAGTATTGATGAATGAAAATTACAAGATTTTTTAGTTTTGGTGAAAGAAAGTTGTTAAAAGTGAGTAATTGACAAGGTGTTCGATATTTTCCATTAATTT